TAACCTACACAGTCCTCATCTGATTCCGTGTTTATGATTTAAGAAGAAACAGACTAGCTGTTGTATTTAATGCCTCCACCCTGGATTTCTGTCTGCTTCCTCATAGTGTGTTCTAACTAATTACTCTGTTCCTATAAATTAGAAGTTATGCACAAGGGCATGATTATTTTCAGGTTCAACTTTTTTCAGAAAGTGTACTTCATAGTAATGTTATATGCTTCCTATTGTGTTGAACTACTAAATATTCAATGTCTGCTTGTCTCATCCTTAGATATGCTGAGTATATCAATCAGTGCATTCAACTGGTGAGAGTTTCATTATCAAATGTTGGCTTGAAGTTTTCACCATTGATTCATTACCTGAATCTCTTACACCATTACATATCACAAAAGGGTGATTTTCATATTCTATCATCTCTTTTATATTCATTATCTGGAATTTGGTAGAAAAAAGTCTTTAATCATCTAAACTTGTATCCCTACTTGGAAGAACACTTCACTCAGATAAGGAAAAATGCACTGAATGAAAAATTTAACAATATAGATAAGAAATGCAGCAAACAGAATTGGAAAAACAAAAATCAATGGAAATTCTAGAAATGAGATGCTCAATAAATCAGATAAAAGACTCAATGAAAATGTCACCAATAAGCTAGAAACTGGGTAAAAGAGATAACATCAGAATCTGAAGACAAGATTGAAGAACTATTATGTTCACATAGCAATAAAGAAGCAAAAAAACTAATCATGACTACAATATCCAAGATTTGGAGGAACAAAACTTATGGGTCAGTAGTATAGAAAAGGTTATACTGGTATATTGACTAAAAACAAAAACCAATTATTCAATGAAAAGGAAATGGAAATAGAAAATGCAAGAACCTGGGAGATAATTAAAAGACCAAATGTACAAATCACAGGCTTAGGTGAAGAAGGAGAGGGAAAAACATAGCCAATAAAATAATAGTAGAAAAATTCAAAAATCTTGACAGTCATCCAGGTATTTTTGACAATCCAAATAAAAAACCTACTTAGATCATATTATACTTAAAACCACATACAGAATAAGGAAAGGATATTGAAAGCTTCAAGATAGAAGTGCCAAGCCACCTATGAGGGAAATCTATCTAAAGAATAGCAGGTTTCGCATTAAAAGCAAAGAGGTCATGAAATGACACATTTCAAGCCCTGAAAGAAAATGAATGTCAACACAGAGTACTGTATCCAGAAAAGATATATATTTTATAATTAAATAAAACATTAAAAATAGTCCATGATAGATAAAACTAAGGAAATTTACAATATTCATAACCAGTAAACTGGTGCTACAGAAGATACTTAAAGTAATCATATATACTTATATATGCTTATGATTAGGTTAAGAAAACAAGGATTAAGGGAGAATCAAACACTGCAAAACCAATGAACTGGCAATAATTACTACATAACTTTCAAAAGTAACTGAATGTCAATAGTCCCAATTCTCAAATCAAAATTCACAGAATTCTCAAATCAAAATTCATAGAATTTATCTAAAGAAAAAACCCTAAAAGCAAAAAGATTGACTGCATGACTCAAATAGCAGAACATTTGTCTATTAAGCACAAGACTCTGAGTTCAATATCAATACTACACAAGAAAATAAAGACATGAAAGAAGAAAGGAAACTAACTGTACATGAAAGCAGAAAGGAGACTATTTAGGAAGAGGAAGGGTACTGTCAAGAAAGGTAAGGGAATATGATGAAATGTTTCATTTTGTGTCATTCAGTGGAAAGATGGAGTTCCTAAAGCCCTCAGATACACAAGATGAGGTGTGGGTCCCACTCTTTCAAATGTTCCATCATGACAATACTTCAGTAAACCTGAAAAACTCCTCCTTTCACTCCTGTTACTCACCCTTAAAGAGGAATTCAATTTGTTTCTTGGTGTCTACCCTTACAACTTCTTCCTGGAAGCAGGAGGTTTTAATTAGTGAAAATTAGGTTTACATAAGTGAAAAAGAGAAAGAAATAACCATTTTTTCACCAGTGGTTAAGAGCATCTGCACAGGAAAGACAGTCTTCTCCTATCGTGACTAATTTCTTTCTAATTTCTTTTATATTTTTATGGCATTTGACCAGTTGGAAGTCTCACTATTTCAAATGTCCCATCATGTCTGGATATAGCAGCATCCAAATGTGTTTTGAATATCCATTCTGAGCTGAGCCTAATCAAAGTCAGCTTCAACATAAAATGGGTCAATCACAGAAAATCAATGGTGTGATCCTATGAAAGAATACTTAGCTGTAACATAAATGATAACACAATTTTCAGGAGCTGGACTTCATCAATGCAACCCCAGCTATAGAAATACTACTGATTCTACTACATTCACAAACTCTCACTTAACTTTTTTTATTTTTTATTTTATTGTTATTGTAAAGGCAAGGTACAGAGGGAGTACAGTTACATAAGTCAGGTAATAGAGTACATTTCTTTTTGAAAAAGTGCCACTCAACCCTCATTTTGTCCAACTTTTTCCCTCCTGATCCCCCTCACACAGGTTGTATAGTTCATTTTCAACATAAGGTCTAGTATCACTGCTGCATTTGTTCACCCTTTGTCCCATCATTTCTTTTTCATTTTCCCATCATTTCTGTGCTCCCTCTTGCACTCTCTAAAACATATAAATATTTAAAAGACAAAAGGGACAGAAAACAAAAACATCAACAAGGATAAAAAAAGCAAAATAATAAAATAAAACACTTGTTTCCACAACTGCCCAATAAATAAGTGGGTGAAAGACTTAAAGAGAAACTTCTCTGAAGAAGAAAGAAGGATGGCCAATAGACACATGAAGAAATGCTCAACATCCCTAGCCATAAAAGAAATGCAAATCAAAACAACATTGAGATACCACCTCACTCCAGTTAGAATGGCTAAAATCAAGAACTCTAACAACAACAGATGTTGGAGGGGATGTGGACAGAAAGGAACCTTACTTCATTGTTGGTGGGAATGTAAACTTGTTCAACCACTTTGGAAAGCAGTATGGAGGTTCCTCAAAAGACTTCACATAGAGCTCCCCTATTACCCAGCAATCCCACTTTTGGGCATTTACCCTAATGTTTACAAACAAGACCACACTAAAGCTACCAGCACAACTATGTTTATTGCAGCATTATTTACCATAGCTAAGATATGGAACCAACCCAAATGCACCTCAGTAGATGAATGGATCCAGAAAATGTGGTATATATACACAATGGAATTCTATGCCTCCATCAGAAAGAATGACATTGCCCCATTTGTTAGGAAATGGAAAAACTTGGAAAAAATTATATTAAGTGAAGTAAGCCAGGCCCAAAGAAACATAGGTCCCATGATTTCCCTTATTTGCAATATCTAGTATATGTATGAGAAAAGCGGAAAAAGTCAGATAATGTGATGTTAGGAAAATGAACCCTTAGATATGTATTTTAATGTATTTTTTCTTTCATGCATGTGTTTCTAACGCATTTATAAGATTATTTCTTTGTTGCTTTGTATGTCCCTCCCCCACAGTATAACCCCTGCTTTCACTATATTTGATGTCAATATAACTTGTGGAGGAGATGGGGAAAAACAAGTCATTTAAGAATACAGGTGGACCTGTTGCAACAATGAGAAGTACAAGTTGTCATGTCCAAAACGAGCTTTACAAGGTTGGTGCGGGGAGGGGGGGGGGGGCAGGGGAAGGATTGGGATTGGGGGGGAGGGGGAGGCTGGGAAGGGATGTGAAGGGTAAACAAAGGAGGAGGCTGCAATGCTTGGTAAGAAATGTATGCATTATCCTGCCCATGTAATTGTAACCTCTCTGTACAGTATGTTCACAAATAAAATTAAATTAAATTAAAACAACACTTGTTTACATTTTTGGAGTTCATTTCAATAAACTTCATATTATATGATCATATGCATACAGCTATTGAGCTTTTGTGATCTTCTCCTAAGAATATTCTCCTTTGGGCTCACTGTGTGAATGTCTAGAATCCTGTATAATTTATCATGTCCAAGTGTATTTTTTTGTCTTTTACCATCTATTGTATTGATTTGTAGATTTATAGGCATATTCTAGTTACAACAAATGAAGGAAATGATGCAACCTATATTACTTTGGGTTGGACTTACTTCACTTAATTTTTTCCAAGTCTTTCCATTTCCTTATGAATGGTACAATTTAATTCTTTCTGATGGAAACATAGAATTCCACTGTGTATGTATATCACATTTTCTTGATCCATTCTTTCACCGAGGGGTACCTGAGTTGATTCCATACCTTGGCTAAGGCAAACAATGCTGCAATAAACATGGTTGTGCTGGTAGCTTTAGTGTGTCCTTGTTTGTGATCTATTGGATAAATGTACAGGAGTGGAATTGCTGGGTCATAGGGAAGCTCTACTTTCCAGAGTGGTTGAACAACTTTACATTCCCACCAACAGAGTAGTAATGTTCCTTTTTAACCATGTCCCTGCCACCATATGTTATTGTTAGCTTTCTTGATAATGACCTTTCTAACTCGGGTGGGGTAGAATCTCAATGTTGTTTTGATTTGTATTTCTTTATGGCCAGAGATGTTGAAAATTTCTTCCTATGTCTATTGGCCATTCTTTTTTCTTCTTTTGAGAAGTCTCTCTTGAAATCTTTAGCTGATTTATTAACTGGGTTGTTATTTCTTTAGGAGTTTATATTCAAGGGGGTGAATTTTTGGCTCTAAGTGTGTTTTAGTTACGAGGCCTTTGTCTGATGCATAGCCATTCTGTCCTCTTCTCTAATTCTGTCTCACTTAACTCACATTTGGGCCTTTCTAGGTCAAAATATCTTGGTCACTTTATCACCCACTCCCTTCTCACTTCCTGAGTTGCAAAACTGTACCTCAGAGAGTAACTACATCTCATTTGGACACCACTGGAGGAAGAGGTATTTCCAGGGGCCCCTTCAAGCCTGCCACCTTGACTTTCTGGCTATTTCTAGAGGACTTCAAGTTGACAACAAAGCTAAAACACAACAAGCTGGGTCTCCATGGACCTGCCTTACTATCACGGCCCTCTGACCAAGCAAGAGTGTGAAATCTTGCTGCTGAAAGAAGGGATAGATGGTAACTTTCTAATACGAGACAGCGAGTCTATACCAGGAGTCCTGTGCCTCTGTGTCACGTAAGTAGCCTCATCTTTCTACATAATTGAAACCTGGTAATAATGGCAGCCATATAGTCAGGGAATTGTATTTTGCTCTAGCCCCAAACAGCTAGACCCTGCCAGGAAAGGGTAGAAGAAATGTGTCTACAGAGCTCTCCTACTTGCTCTCCTCTTGTAGTGTAAATGCCACACAAATAGACCTTGTGGCAGCAGAAGTCAAGCTGATGGGGAATATAAGAGCTTTCAGAAACTTCTAAGTAGCATCACTGCTTCCATTAGAGGTCTCTTTATTTGATATAGAGAAAGCTGTGGATATAGAGAAAGCTGTGGAAGTTTCAGCCTAAAAGTTTCCACTCCTAAAATGCTAATAACATCCTAAAATGCTAATAACATTTCACATTTTACTAGATTTGTAAAAGGACTTCATACACCATTTCCTTTCATCTTTATTATGGTCTGTGGAGGCAAGTATAAACAGTCACCATTTTACTGGTGAAGCAATAGAGATTGTGTTTTCAAATGACTTTTTATGTTAAAATTCAACTGGTACTTCTAGAGTCTGCATTAAGTATGAAAACTTACAGAACCAGAGATACCTTGCTGAGGGAAATAGTTTATGTTCAGTTCAGAAAATAATCCTGAGCACTTCCTAAATTTATCTACTTTATTCTTTGTAGAGTACTCAATACTGAATCCTTTAATTGTCTTATTATAAGTGTTCTGGTTAAAAGAAGACTATTTAATGACACTTGTTAATGCATGGCAAGGAAGACTTTATTCAGGACTCTCTGGATAGGTATAGGGATCCTGGAATGAGAACGCTGAATGGAGGAGAGATTGTACTTAACTCCCAAGATAGCATGGAGACAAGTTAAGATTTGTAACCAAGAATCAGGGGCAAAGGGCTTAGTGGATGAAATAATAAGAGAGGGGGTGGGAAGGTGGCTCAGTGGTAGAGCACTTGTGTTGCATGCATGAGGCCCTGGGTTCGATTCCTCAGCACCACATAAGCAAAAAGAAAAAAGCCAGAAGTGGTGCTGTGGCTCAAGTGGTAGAGTGCTAGCCTTGAGCTGAAGAGCTGAGAGACAGCGCCCAGGCCCAGAGTTCAGGCCCCATGACTGGACTCCCCCTCCCCCCCAAAAAGAAAAGAAATACTAAGAGAAAACCTAAACTATAAAGAGACTTATAGCTAAACTGAATAGATTTCTAATTAGCTAAATAATAATAAGTTTATAATAAATAATCAGCTAAACCAATAGAATTCTAGCTGAAGATAGGCCACAATGATGTTATCATATAAAGTATGTTAGAGGAAAGAAATTGAGGGTGATTAGGTGTTAAGGTTGAGCAGGGATACTTGATAAAACTGGATTTTATAAGGAAGTACACAAGCCTAATCAGAAAGTATTCCAAAATCTGGTCAAGCAAAGAATCTCTATACAAAAGTCTATGCTTTTGTACCTCATCCAATGGAGGGCTAAGAAAATAAAAGTGAAGGTCACACTAATAGATACACAGAAATATACCTGTTTCTTTAAATGGGGTTGGAGATACAGGTGTGAGAAAGATAGCCTTAAGGATATCTTATGGGGCTGGGAAGGTGACTCAGTGGTAGAGCGCTTGCCTTGCATGCCTGAGGCCCTGGGTTCAATTCCTCAGCACCACATAAACAAAAAGAAAAAAGCCAGAAGTGGTGCTGTGGCTCAAGTGGTAGAGCACAAGCCTTGAGCTGAAGAGCTGAGGGACAGTACCCAGGCCCAGAGTTCAGGCCCCACGACTGGACCCCCCCCCCCAAAAAAAGGATATCTTATGTTTTCAAGCTGCAAGTTATAGTTAGAATATTTATGTGCAAATAAGTGTGTGCATATGTGTATATGTAATGAGTATATACATATATGTGTATATATGTTTAAACATTATATACATATGTATATGTATACATTTACATAGACACATTATATATATATATATGTGTGTGTGTGTGTGTATACGCACACATATACATACACATATATATAAACTCTATGCAAACCATAGTAAAAACTACTATGGTTTGGATACAGTTTATTCCTACAGGTTCATGTACTGGAAGCTTGGTCCCCACTGTGGCTTTTAACAGGTAGTAGCCTTTAAAATAGTGGCTCAAATTTCTTGTGAGACTCTGAGTTAGTTCTTACTAGTAGATAGTTTTAAAAGTAACACTGGCCCATCCCCCATGCTTGTTCTAATTCCTTGTCCCAGTATGTGTTTGCTTCCTCTCCCATGAACTCCCACCATGATGGGCTGCATAAACCCTTAGTTTACAGATTTCCAGGATTTTCAGGCATTTCGCTTTAGTTATAGAAAATGAACTAATACAGTTGAATTTCCATCATTTTGTGGTACTGAGTATTTGAACTCAGGGCCTCACACTTGGGAGGCAGGTGCTCTACCACTTGAGCCACACATATAGCATCTTTCTGTATTGGTTATTTTTGAGGTAGGGTCTCACCTTATGTCTTGGCCAGCATAGAATTCTCTGTCAGCATGTGATTCTCTTATTTGTGCTTCTTCATATTGCTGAGGAAATACCTATCATAATGTGCCACTGTGCCCAGACATCATGCTTCACACATAGCTGGGATGATTGGCATGCACCATGGTGGCCAGTCATTGGTTGAGATGAAGTCTCATGAATTTTTTTTCATTCTCCCTGGGCTGGCCTCATATACCCTGATTCCCTGATCTCTACCACCCAGCACACCCATCTCAGTTCTCCTTTTGCACTTGTACATTCATATCCTTTTGCCCATGTTCAGCTTGTCTCTTTAAATGGATTTCTTCTAAAGTCTGCATTTGAAGACACAACCTTTTTTCCAAAGAAGATATGCCCATGCAAAAAAAGACTTCTAATCAAACTGATTTCAGGAACCAGCTAAGATGGGACAGATGGGCATGGAGACAAGAAGGTACTAAAGATATGCCAGATATAGGACCAAACTTGACTAGGACTGCAGAGTACAAGATCTTTTTTTGTTTGTTGGGGTTTTTTTTGGTGCTGGTCCTGGGGTTTGAATTTAAGGCTTGGATGCTGTCCCTCAGCTTCTTTTACTCAAGGCTAGGACTCTATCACTTGAACCATGGCTTCACTTCTGGATTTTTGCTAGTTTATTGTAAATAAGAGTCTCTTGGACTTTCCTGCCTGAGCTGGCTTCAAACTATAATCCTCAGATCTCAGCCTTCTGAATAGCTAGGATTACCACCAGCACCTGATAAATGTGATCCTCTTGGTAGTTTGAACACTAATGTTTATTCTCAGGTGCTCTGTAGCATGGTGAGTCAGTCCAGCTCAGGTATTCACAGCAAAGGTTACTAACATAGCAATTAGTCGGGCACCTATAATCCTAGCTACTCAAGAGGCTGAGAGCTGAAGACTGCAGTTCAAAGCCAGCCCAGGCAGAAAAGTCCATGAGACTCTTATCTCCAATTAACCACCAAAAAACCAGAAGTGGCATTATAGCTTAAGTGGTAGAGCTCTCTCCTTGAGCTGAAGAGCTGAGGGACAGCACTCAAGCCCAGTTCAAGCCCCACAACTGACAAAAAAAATAGTAATAATAATATCACCACCATCAAACAACAACAAATCCAGTGGGAAAACAAGAATAAACATTTGTTAGTTACCTGGACATGGTCAGGCCTCACTGTCCTCCTAAGCCAAGCCAAGTCACCAAAAGGCAAAGTCTGATGCATCTGATGGCATAAGTCTCATTGTAGACTTAGTGAAATCCTATTGCGGCCTCCTCAATTTTGTCTGTCCAATAATTTCTTAAAGTCTCTCATATGTCAGGCCCTATGCTAGACACTCAGGTAATCTGAAAACAGACCAGAATCCAGTGAGAAAAAAAATCAAGAAATAAATAGATACTGTGATGGATGTAAAAACTGTGATGACTGGACTATCTCAGAATACTATGGGGGCAGAGAGCAAAGACCAATTTGTCCATTAAGGGTTAGAGAGCCTGACACTGGAGCTGAGATGTCAGGTAGGGACAGAGGAAGGCTACTGTAGGTGGGGTACAAGAAAGATTCCTCTGATATATTCACATAAACCAATTCATTCTCCAATGTATAAACTCATCTTAGTCCATTTGGTGTTGTCAAAACAAAATAATGAAATCTGGTCCTTTTAAAGAAAAGGGATTTATTTAGCTCACAATTTTTGAAGGGCATGAACAGGGCATGATCACTGGATGCCGGGGTAGGGGGAACCCCATAGCAAATTAGCATCATGTAGTGGAATGTGTGCCAGGCAGAGAAGTCAGGTGGCAGGAGAGGAAGTAAGAAGGCCATCATCCAACTGTGTGGGTAATGGCTTCCCTTCACTCACACTAGATCCAACATTAGAAAGTTCCAACACCTCTCAATATGGTAATGCTGGAGAACAAGTCTCTAGCACATGAACCTGAGATGTACAGACCATTACAACATATGTAAGCAAATCTGACATTACTCTTATAATACAAATATTAGACTGTCTGTTCAGTCCTCTATAAATAACAACCATGGAGATTTTTTGTGAGCCAGCCTTCAAGCGAGGCATGTTAGTTATGTCTGTTCTCTCCTCTATCCTTTGTAAAATTTTTTGCTCTAGGCAATATTACTCCTATATTGGGAGGAAAGAAACTGCAGCTTTAAATTTAATAACTTGGGGCTGGGAAGGTGGCTCAGTGGTAGAGCGCTTGCCTTGCATGCATGAGGCCCTGGGTTCGATTCCTCAGCACCACATAAGCAAAAAGAAAAAAGCCAGAAGTGGCTTTTTCAGCCTTGAGCTGAAGAGCTGAGGGACAGCACCCAGGCCCAGAGTTCAGGCACATGACCGGACCCCCAAAAAAATTTTTTTAAATAACTTGCCCAAAGACAAATGGTTAGTATATAATTGTGTTTCATGCCCTCACCAATGTCCCCAGCTCCAGTGAAAATATTTTCCAGGCTGGTCATCTTGAGACCATGCTATAAACCATCAAAGCAGGGCTTGGAGA